ACTATCATTACTACCATGATGCCGAGTAGTACCGGTCGCAACCCGGTTGTAGCGCGCCCGTGTTCTTGCGGGAACACATAGACAACAATAGGCCCCAACTCCGATAGGTATTCGCCCTTGGTGATGCGAGATCCTGGTCCGGTGAAAACCCTGTGTGCTCCGTCCCGGTTTTCCAGGGATGCGAGGTCAATGGTCCAACAACTACGGTATGCACGACTATGAGTACAACCCCCCCCACCCCCCCCCACCCCGACTCCATACCGCTGCATGAAGTTCCAACCGAAAACAAGAAACGTGGCGCAGCAGGCTGACACGCACGACACGAAAAGGTAAGCACACAGCAGCAGATACCACGGCGAAGACCCCATGGAATTGGCATCAGAACAACATTCCACTGTTGTGGTGAGGTCATTACCACGTTGTTGACGAGGCTTCCGCAAAAACAACAAACATTCCCCTGAGACTGAAAGCATCGGCCTGTAACGCCGAGAGGCTCGTCTTTGCGCTATAGGAAGCTTTGGTCCAGCTCGTCAAAGGGTAGTATCATATCAGCGCCTAAGGCACCGATGACAAGAGCAGTGAACCACGTTGCAATCCGACGCCGACAACAATAAAGCAAACAACAGCAGCAACGATGAAAAACCACGTTCTTCAGACTTACCACTGTAGTCAAGCTGACGTCGTGCGTGCCCGCCGGGATGTAGATGGTGTCCCCTGGCGATGCACCGTCCAGCAACGCCTGCAGTGACGTAGGAACCGAAAACACACGGGGAGAACGGAGACAGAACATTGGTGATCCAACCTACATTGTAGCAAGCAGCACAAACATCTCAGCGTGTGAAGAGCGCTTCAATGTTCGCGTGAAACTTGCTTCGCCGTTGATCGATGGTGTGCTTGCTCGTTCATGATAAATCTCCTTCGTCTTTGTGGGATAATCTTGAACGGTAGCCCTTTTTAGAGTATATTTTCTGCGAAACTGGGGACACCCATCACGAACAAGTTCCGTCCTTGTTATTGTCATGGACTGATATGGTAGAGCGCGGCCGAGAGAGACCCAACCCACCCTCACACACGCTCACGCTTGTTCGTTACCTGGAGCTCGCTATCCACATCCCTCGAGTCGGCGAAGTCACCGCTGTCGGAGCTGTCGTTGTCTTCCGCGACCTCGACGAGCGCGATGATTCCCCATGTTACCAGCGCCACCAGCACGATTATCGCGAAACCGAAGAACGCTCCTCCGCGGGCCGGCATGTCCAACTACCTCCTCTAATACCTAGGGGCAAACACCGCAAAACAACATGAGTCGAAGGCCGTCGGTGAAGGGGATGTAATGCTGCTGCCGGGCCGGACAAATTCATTTTTTTTTTTTTGTGAAAGGTCGCGAGGGAAAAAGAGCCGGCAAGGTGAAGAGAGTGTTTCATGCACATGTTTTTTTTGTGAAAGGTCGCGAGGGAAAAAGAGCCGGCAAGGTGAAGAGAGTGTTTCATGCACATGTACCAACAGCGCTGAAAGCGTCGTGGCACTCTTCTGTCCCTGTAGAAAATGGGGGGACTATCATCACAATAGTAGGACGAAAACCTACGACACAGATGTAGGTCAGGTTCGTTGGTTTGTCTCTTTGGAGGAGGTTTTAGTCCTCCTCCTCTTTTGGCGGGCAAACGGCCTTCATTGGCCCATGGTCAAGAGTGGAGGGCCGGGCGCTGTTCTGAGGTGTATCGTTTTGTTCTTATGGCCGCGATATGACAGCAGGCACGCTACAATGTTGTGCGCATGCAAGATATCTTGCCGGGAGACCAATGAAACCGACACTTGAGACTATGACCAGCCTGGGACTGCGTGGTTCGGCGGCGGGCGCCATCGAAAGTCCTACGCACCTAATGTACAAGCCCTTGCCAATCGTCCCCTTGTGAAACGTTCCTACCAAGTGAGAGACAGACGCAGTGTTATCATCGGGCCGCGGATGCGTTTACTACTACTGCTCTACTAAATACGGTGCCTACTGCTGTACATACTGAAAAGATCGGTTGCAAAGACACGCCGATTGACGCATGTGTTGTGTGATAAGGAGCAACGAGCCAGCGACAGGGAGGATGCGCGGTGATACCTGCACATCTTACCACGCAGCAGCGGGGTGGTCTATAGACTGCTCACAGTTTCCATGGTCGCAATATTTCCTCACACACACGCACGCGCGCGTGAACCAAACCCTTACCGTGGTCCCCAGAGGAGTGGGTGGTGTTGAGTCGGGGACGACAGCAATTTTGAGCAAACGCGGCAGCAATCTGGGAGCTGCAAAAATGCGCGAACTTTAAACTCTTTGTCTCTCCGCCTCTCGGCGGCGGGCTGCACTGTGCGGGAAAACATTTGCTATACAAAAAGTACATACATAATCGACTCGCGTGTCCGCCGCCATCAAACTGCCGATCTCCCCTTCTTCTTGACCAGCAGAAACTCCAAAAAAAAAAAGCACTCGTGAGAACATGCCCAATAGCGACACAGCCTCCAAGGCCAGAGGCTAAGGAAGTCACGACGGCCATGGCGCAAAGTAATTCTGAGACCTGCGGAACGTAGGGACAGGGGATTTGGTGGCCCTCCTGCAGTAGGAGGAACGGCGCACACCCTGGAAATATCTGACACACACCTGACCCTATTTGTACAAGTAGTACAAGTATGCATAGGTTGGGCTGAAAGGAAAGATCACGTTGGTGCAAGAAGCACGGCTATCAAACGAGACGCGTGCGTTTGCGTCTCATGCGCAGAGACTTTGCGTTGCAACTCGCCACCTCTTGGCTGCACCAACATCGCCAGCATGCGTGTGCTGGTTGTTCATGAGCACTAGCAACAAGTCGGCGACACATCCAGAGGAGGAGCGAGTTGTGCAACCAAAACTGCTACAGCTCAGGGTTCTGTTTCAACTTCGTTGTTCCAGAAGTCAGGTTAGACTAATCCGGTGAACTTACCAAAACTCACTGCACCCTACTGCCGCTGCCCAGTGCTGCAGGCACATTGGTTGTATTGCCAGCGTTCGCCTGTTGCTCTCACCTTACTCGTGACGGCGCGGCCCCTTCTCCCACGCGAGACAGCCCTCTTGCAACCGGACACGGGTGGGTGGTGTTGACGCCCGCACCTCAACAGCAATCAATCCGTCTCGACACGATGGCCTCTGCTGATCTCTCCCAATGTCCTTTCCTCTGCAGCAGCACACACGAACAGCACAGCACCGCCTTGACAAAATAGGGAGGCTGTTGAATCCGGGACTGGATGAAAGCGCCTCCAAGCCAGCAGCGGTCGATAGCAGCTGTTCAATGAGGGAAACGTGTGTATGTGTATGTTTGGGTACACAGCAGTTGTGCGGAATTCTGTCTTAATCTTCGTCTTCGGAGGACCCTGAAAACTCTTGCCGAAACACCTGGAAATTTTCGTAGATTGCGGAGATGACCTTGCTTTTTTGTACAAGAGTCACGGTTCACGGAGCCCCCCTCCCTCCACGGACAAGATCTTCCGTTTCACATGACATCAACCAACCTGCCAACCGCACTCCGTAGCAGGAAGAGGGCCAACCACCTTCCACACGTAGCACAACTGCTGGAAACAACGCAGTTAAACTCCGGTGACGAGCACAGGCAGGAACAGAGCTGATCTTTCACGAACGATGACATTTGATGACACGTAGTCTATAGTCTACATACCTGTACACGAATATATGCCTCAAGCGCGTAGAGACTTGTACAGCAGTAGTCTACGACCCATTGCAGCCGTACGGCCCGAACATCACGTTCCCACCAGTATGTATGTACCTCGATCGGGTACTTGTGGCCATGACTTCTGGGCGCCTCTCTCTCCCCTCCCCCTCCCCGAAGTTTCGAGACTGTTGCAATTCGGTGGGTGTTCCACCAAATCAGAAGCTGGTGAAGGCCTAGTCAAGCCTTGTCTACATAATTTCTTGTCTGCGCGGAGCCCACCGTTTCTGAAGGATAATGCGCCCATTACTTTCGATTCTCTACGGACTTTTCTTCAAACGGAACACATCGGTTCCATTCTATGCACTACAGCAGTTACTTCGAGCAGCAGGCACATCCGCCTGGATATGTGCGCGGAGATGAGGGTCTCGTTGGAATTTCGATCCCGAGTAGACGACCCGTTTATTGAACATGAATGACAGATGATGACAGACTGGCCGTGGTCAATATTTCTGGATGGATGTACGTAAAGTTGACGATGGTCGCAGGGCTTATAACATGAAACGGTAGAAACAAAAATGCTGACGATATGGGACAAAGGGCGCAGCCAACTGACAGCTGCGCAAGCTCCCCAGCCGTTTCCGGGCGTCGCATGCTAGCCAAGCCTCAACCGCTGACGAGATCACACGATGACGGAGGTGTTTGCTTGTGGACAAATGGTCGTTTGATCTCGCTAATACAGCTTTTTGGGGCATGCAACTTGGGCATGATGACACCTGCTCCACGAACTGCCATGATAGTCACAGCAGTACAGTATAGTCAGTCGTGGGTGCGAAACCCATGCTGAACACGTGAGGTCTTCTATTCCCCGAGACAGAAGGAAGCGAAATGAACAAAGATGGATAACATACAATAGTACTGCGGTGGAGAAAACGCATTTTTTTTTAAATGAACTTCTGGACTAGTAAAGTCTTTCATCGGCCTCCCGAGCAATCACCGCGAGGCAGCACAACGGTCATCGGTCGCCACGGCCTCAGTCCCTTCGGGAGGAAAGCTGCCCATCCTCTACCGACCTAGCAGAATTGCCCCTGCAGGATTGTCCGTTGTTGCGAGGTCATTTCGGGTATGTATGTACACGGTTGCATAGAGCACTTGGCTCGCGGAGGCGACGCTCCCATTCGTTGTTGATCCCTGCTGACCACGCCCAACGCTTGAGAGGGGCAATTTTCGGGCCATGTATCAGATTCGGGAAGTCGAGTCACAAACCCACAATGCCCTATTCACGTGCGCGTTCCACGACCTACAAGGCGTGTTGAATCCAGCCATTGGTACGTGTGCCGATTGCGCAGGGGTTTTTGCACGCTGACAACGTAGCATGTGGTCCAACCACCCGTGTGACGCCTGTCGCAAGACTCCAGGTAGGGAACAGCAGCGGATGCTTAGATACTGACAATATGTAATGGCACATCGAAATACCGACTTGGAAAAACATACCGAATTCCGTAGACTTGTCGGCCGACTCCCTAGCAAAAACCTGCCGGAAAAACCAAGTAATACAATTGATGAACAGGGAAGACATACAGCAGTTTCTACACGCACTGATCCCGCAAACGACATGTCCTACAAGGAGACGCAGAGCTTCTGGCAAAACGATCAAGCGGGGGCCCATGCTGCTTGCAATGTCTACAGAGCTATGGGGCTACAACAAACACCGTATAAGACCGATCCGACTCAACCAGATAAAAAATCATCCGCAACACTTGGCGGTGCAAAAAACAACACGAACTCCTGACAAACGGAGCAAAACGATCGAGGAGGCCCCCATGCTGCATATCCATGTCCACAGAGCTGCTGTATGGAGCTACAATGAACACCGTGTGAGAGTCCAACAACCAATCCAACCGAGAACACAAATAATGCGCAACACTTTGCGGCGAAAACAACATCACGAAATCCTGACAAGAGGAGCAAACCATCAAGCGGAGCCCAATGCTGCATATTGATGTCTACAGAGCTTCGGAGCTACAACAAAAATAAGAACGGTCCGTCCAAACGACCAATCCAACCGAGAACGAACATCATCCGCAACACTTGGCGGCGTACAAAACAAAAATTACACGAAATCCTGACAAGAGGAGTTGTTCCCGGCAGCCCTTGTTATTAAACGATTCCATCAAACTGAGCAACACCGCCGCGGACGAATGGTTTTCGAAAGAAGTCTCTGCACCGTGACACATGCAGCTTACTACCACCAACACAGTAACAGCCTCTCGTTCGGGCAGCGCAACAAAACGTGCAGGCGGCCAGCGCAAGAGCCTCGACCAATCAAAACCCCAAACGTGGCGCCCTTCGATCAAATCCGATCAAACGCGTAGCGGACTTGAATTACGCACGAAGAACACGAGAAAGCAACGTAGGCACTGCTGCGACAGGATGGTATCCCCAGTGCAGCGTGAAAGTATTTTATGACGGACTTCGTCCTCAAGTGCGACTCACGATAAGGTATACAGGCTGCAAGAGCTCGACGAGTGTGGACTAAGGATTCAACAAGAGGGTGACACGAAACGTTCCCCCAATACAATCTAGCCCCCAAGGGGTTTGAAAACAAAACCGGTCCGCGTGGAATCCATTCACAATCAAACTGGTTCTAACATCACTGGTGGTGCATACATCTCTACTGCTGGCCAAAATGCTCGCAACAGTGCTCCCGGCGCACAGCGCAGCGGGCTGCACGGCGTGGATCATGCAGATACGATACAACGGCAGCAGCACGTCATGCCTGCAAAACATCGACATGCGGGCTCCAACGATCCACTGAACACTTGTTCATATCGCAGATAGAAGGCGTCCCGATGCAAAAAACTTCGACCACGTTCTCGCTGAAAGCAGCGCAAAAATAAGCAGAACAACACGGAAGGCCCCAACACACAAGTCCGCCCGTACTCCTTCAAAAAACTCAGACAAGCCCCGAACTACAAAAGCCTTTTTGTTACGGGACCGGAGCAAACTTGTATCGTACACGGCACTACACCAAATAGAGCAAGTAGGAGCACGCCGGCTATTTACAAAAACAGCGATCGCATGACTAGCCGGAGACCTTCTTAGGTAGCGCACCTATTCCCCTCCACGAACACAATCGCCATAATCTCTTATCGCCCTGCCCTTCCTTCGTGTCTCCGGTTCCCGATGCAAAAAACTTCAACCACGTTCTCGCTGAAAGCAGCGCAAAAATAAGCAGAACAACACGGAAGGCCCCAACACACAAGTCCGCCCGTACTCCTTCAAAAAACTCAGACAAGCCCCGAACTACAAAAGCCTTTTTGTTACGGGACCGGAGCAAACTTGTATCGTACACGGCACTACACCAAATAGAGCAAGTAGGAGCACGCCGGCTATTTACAAAAACAGCGATCGCATGACTAGCCGGAGACCTTCTTAGGTAGCGCACCTATTCCCCTCCACGAACACAATCGCCATAATCTCTTATCGCCCTGCCCTTCCTTCGTGTCTCCGGTTCACACCCATTCCGCCTCTCTCTCAGGGCTATCGCTGTCTCCTCCCCGTCTCTTTCCCTCCCACCAGTCGTCCCTGCACAGGTCTCCTTCTGGGCTAAACCCGTCGGCGCTGAGGCGAGGGTCTGTCCTTTTCTTGACGGTGTCGTTGCAAGGTGCCCCTTGTTGCTGCTGCATCTTACGCAAAGCTGCCCCGGGAACTTTCGAAGAATCTGCCTTCGGGCACGTCGAAGCCGCCCCGGCACGGGAGTCCCACTCAATGCCCCCATTGGGAGACGCAGGTTCACCTTGGAAAACAGGGTGCCCATCAGCTGCGATTGCTTCGGCTGGACAGGCGTGGGGGCAACAAGGATAAAACGGGGAGAGGAGGAGAGGGTTCGCGTGTCAAAGGCTCACTAACATTCGGGTGGCATTGGTGCAAGAGAAGCGCAGCCCCCCTCTCGTTGCTACGAGTCGAACCCGCAGAGGCTACATGAAGCGTTTCTTGTTCCGTAACTCTACGGTTGACCATACTCTGTGTGTGGAGAGAGAGGTGGTTTCACAAGGTCAGAACTGTGTCTTTGCACCATTGGGTACAGGGCAAGGATAGCGCGCCTTCCCTTGGATTTCGCTCGAACTTTGTACGCGCAACATAAGGATAGCGAATGCGTCAAAAAACAGTTGTACCTTCTTTCGATATCAAGTTTCAACTCCCCCCCTCCTGCGGGACGCGACTCTTCCCCATGCAAACAAAAAAATGGGAAGGCCCGAAAGTACACTGCTGCAGTCTTTCTTTCGTTTCGCAACTTGTCACCTAAGAGTGTGGGATGGACCTGTGCGATGAATGTTGACGTGTGCATCAACGTTCTCTCTCCGACTCAACCGAAATATCACGAACACACGTGCGGAAAAGGGACAGCAGCGCTCCCGGTTTCCTGCTTTCCACCGAGCAGGTGTGTCCACCCCAAAAGTACGACACTTCAAAAAGAAAAATGAAAAAAGCTCACAGCACAGGGTTCACAACTAAAGCGGTTAAGACTCAGGGATAGTCAGCGATATTGCAGGAAAAATGAGCGTCCCAGAGCCACAAGGGTAGGACGCAACTCTTTCCCCGACGAATGGGTGTTCCCCGAGTTGAGGCAGTAAGGCAATGTACAGATGTATGGTTCTTTCTCTTTGGTTCTTTGAGGTTCGCTGGACTGTTCGAGTCAAAAACACATCACCTGTGTGAGCTGTTGAGGTTGGGAAGCGTCACACGGCAACTGGCAGTCAGCTGCGAGTTGGTCCTGCTGCCTGCTTCTATTCCCATCTTGCATCACCCCTTGACGACACTCTGCTCTCACGAGCCCACTCTTGAGGGATCACTTGTGAAAAAAAACTTCCACTACCCAAGATGGCGCCGAACCGTGTGTGGCAACTTGAATACAACATTAACTCCGTTCTTGGTCTTTCTCCGCAAAAGTTGAAGTTCTTCTCGGCCTCTGCCAAATAGCCGACTCGCCCCCGACTCGGGGGTCAAATCGTTACGTCACCGGAATATCGTTGCCATTTTTCAATAAGAAAAAGCACATCGAATCCATCTCTATCAACACACGAGAGTCCAACACAAATTTGCAATGATTCCATAAAGTAGCGGAGGCTTCAGTCTACGATTCACGAGCAGCGTACAGTACAGGCCCGCAGTAATTTTTTCTTGATGGGAAACAGAGGCTCAAATTGTCACGAAAAACAAGGAAATACGACTAAGAAACACACCTCAGCTGTGGACCCATGCCACACTCCATTTTACAACCGGAGGTCGACAGTGGCGATGGAATAAAACACGGAGCCTTGCGACCCGATTTCGACGTTTCGTATCTCCAGGCCCGTACCGGCGTACAGCGATATCTCCAAGACATTATGGTAGCCATCTGAGTGTCTCTTCTGGTGGGAATTCAAACATGTTTGGAAGCATTGTAATTTTGGGTAATCCGATGGGCATGCGGCGGTTGGCGAGGGATCAGGGATCAGGGCCTGTGGTCTTGACGCGGGGAGACAACTACTGTTGTATTGTTGTTCTTGGCCTAGGATCACACAACGAAAGCATTGGATATTCGACGAGGCCTCCAGCTACGGCCTGTGGTCCCACCCTACTTTCCTGGCTGTGTCTTCTCCTCTAACACTGACCTGGACCCTGGTTGAGTCACCCGATCTTTCGTGCGTTCATTCATTGTATGGTGGGCGGGTGCAAGCTGCGAATACAACCGCAAAATGGGCTACAGCCAATCCAAGTTTGGCATCAAAAGTGGATGCAGGCGTCGGCCCTGAAAACATGTTGATACATGCCTACAGCCGGTAATTGCTTATCTCTCCACCGTGTTACGAGAAGAAAAACTAAGAGATGCCACGCACAAGGGGCGAACCCGATGCCCCCCACGCCGTCATCGGTGCCAGCGTCGCCGGCGGCGACGTCCACAGCGTGGGGGCATCGGGCCAGCCCCCACCGTGGCGTGGGTCGGCTCGTTTCGTGAATGACTGAGCGCCGCGGTAGGCGCTGTCTTGCCTTCAGGAAGACGGGGTCATTGGGAGCGGCGTCCGCCCTAGACCTGAAAAGGCTCATCAGACCCAACTTGCCTCAACGGGGGGGCTGCGTCCGCCGCAGACTCATCGGGTCAGATGACCCTTTTCAGGTCCAGGGAGAGCGACGCTCCCAATGGCCCCGCCGTGCAATTACATGGCAGCGCCGACCGCGGCGTTGAGGCATTCGCGAAACGGGCCGACGCACGTGCCACAGGCGCTCGGGCCGGCGAAGTTGACGGCGTGGGGGGCGTCAGGTTTGCGTGTTCCTGGTCTCTTTCAAATGCGTACTTCCCCGGAGTCCTCTCGTATTCACGGTAGGGAAAAAAACAATGATCAGCTGCGCATGTGGCTCCACTCCCATACATAAGGGTCCAACAAAAAAACATTCAAATATTCGCGCGAAGCGCGAAAAAGAACGAGCGGAGGAAGAGACGCAGGCGTAGATAGATATGGATGGAGCCTCCCAGAGAGGCCACCACTGCTACTGCACACGCCCGCACCTCACCCAACACCACCAGTCAGCCGTGTACGCAGGACTGCTGCTATTTGCCAGCGCGGGGAAGAGTGAAAGTGCTGTGTGGTGTAGATGAAGCTCTCATGAATGATCATCAGCTAGCTGCTACTGCTGCTGCTGCTGTCGCCGTGTGGATGTGCACTACTTACGCTCGTAGCAGCGGCAACGGGCTCTTAAATCGCCCCCGACGCCCTCTATGTGTGTATTTGGTCGCATTGCCCGGCAGCGTGTGTCTCATTGTCTCTCTTGTTTTCGGGCGAGTCTGTTGTGGATGAAGAGCAGATCCGCCTGCAGACAGACCGGCGAAGATAGCCGCAGATTGATTTGTCTTGATTCACTCGCTGATACGCTGCTAGCAGCAGGCAACGGGCTTCAAAAATCGCTCTCGATGCTCCGTATGATGTGTTCCTTTGGCCGCCTTGGCCTGCTGCCGTTTGTACGTCTCATTAGGTTAGGGTTGTTAGGGATGCACCACTGCTATAGCAAGCTCAAAAGATCGTCCTGCAGCAGCATGTGTACGTCTCGTTGCCTCTGTTGTGTGGGGAAGCGTCTGTGTGGGAGCTCCAAAGATCGGTAGGTTGAGGTGATGCAGACGGACCGCAGATTGACTTGAGTCGTCACTCGCTTGTGCTGCCGACAGCAGACAACAGGTTGTAAGAGTCACGCCCAACGCCTCCAATGATGTGTGCCTTTGGCTGCCCTCGGCCTACACCAGTCCATATGCTGCTGTGCTGGTTGTCTCGTATGTTCTCTGCGTGGTGTATGTGGTGCTGCTGTGCATGAGGATTTCGGGGATTCTCCCGAGAGCGTGCCCATCGCTCAATGAGCTGTGTCTGTCCAACATAATGTCCTACATAGTCGACACGTGACTGGTGGAAGGACGGCATCTACCCGGCTCTACCTCTCTAAAACTTCGACGATTTTTTTGTTGTTCCAGTCCAACATGATTTGCGCTACGTATAGGTGCTCTGCCGCGCATGTGTATTTATTGTGCCGAAATGGGGTTTCCGCTCTAGCCCACTCTTACAAATTTAGACAAACTTTCAAATTCACCGCTTTCGCTGAATATAGACTATCTAGACTAGTAATAGAAGTATGCTGTAAGGTAGTCAATATTCTAATTCTCAATTCTTGGTCGACAACAAAAACGAGCGCTCGTGCGTGATGTTTGATGAGCATGTGATTGCGTGCCCACATGCCACAGCGTTGCTAGAGTGCATATGAAAACTACTCGTAGCAAGTGGTCGTGCTGTGGCCAGCTCTTACCGCAACAACGGGATGCTCCTCGTTGCACCCACAACGGGTTGTAAAACTCGTTTATCCCGTCTTGCCGCTGGCCCCGATTTTGGCCCTCGTCCCGCTGCTGCTGCTGGCGGGGCTGGCTTCTGTCAGTCGCGAGTGCACCCCTGTGGCATCCATCCGCTACCCCCACCCCATTGCTGGGAGAGTTGGCGCTATCTGACAGAGAGTCGAAAGACCTCGTCGTCGGTAACGGTGGTCTGGGTTGCACCCGGGGCCCGCGGCGGCCACCTGCCAGCTTTCGCCCATTTCTATCCCACCAAAAAGACCAGGCAAGCCATGCCAACAGGCACGAAAGAAAGGCAGAGGCGATGCACATCTTGGCGACGAACTCGCTGTCCGCCTGGTCCATGTGGTCGGCGACGGCGGCGACATCCTCGTCCTCCAGCAGCTGCCGTTCCGCCCTACTGCGGGGTCGGACCAAGCTCGCGCGGTTACTACTACCTCCGCCAAACGTACCCCACTCCATCACATGCACTCTCCCTTGCCCACGCCGTAATCGCCGCTGCCGGCATGCAACGAACGAGCGTTTGTCTGTCCAGCTGTCCAGTCTGCCGCGCGGCACATGTGTGACACACGTTCGCTATGAAGCAAAGAAGCAAAGGACCCGCCAAAAAATCACTGCAATATCAGAGCAGGCCAAACACGCCTCCGGAACCAGCGGCGCTGCACGTGTCAGGAAACATATTTTGGAACTCAAACCGGCGGCCTCAAGCTCAAGCCTGCCAAAGCCTGTGCTAAGGCACTGCATAGCACAGCTAGCACTAGACAGCACAGCAGATAACAACCGTGCCGCTAGAGTTCGGGCGCTGGGGGTGTCCTCATCCGACAGTTGACAGTGCCTCTTCATTACCAGCAGTACCCGTTTTCTGCCGCTGCTTCGACTGCAGCGGGGAGAGCGGTTTGATCGATGAAGGCTGATCCATCAGACTGCTCAGTCAGCTGCCTCGACCGCCTAGGGAGCGACTGGTCGATAAAGGCTGATCCACATGACTACTCAGTCAGCGCCGATCAGCCTTTTATCTACAAGTAAATATACTGAAAACATTCGTCTTCTTGGGCTCGGTGGCTGCCCAGCTACGGCAGACAGCAATGATCTCTGGGAATAGCGATCCCCTCGCCATGTGATGTTTCTGCGGCTGTGAACAAGATCCCGCCCCAATGGCATTCAGGCAAGGATCCAGCCATGTCAAACGAAGAATGACAACATGCGGGGACGTGTTGAACTCCTTACGTACTGAAAGTTCACGGAACTGCCGCGGAATACAGGCACCGAACGGAGACGAGACAGATGATGCAGATCGATGGTCAATCTTCAGGGGGAAAAATCCTACCAAAGGGTTGACGGTGTTGTGTGCAGCAGCCCTCTCTCTTGACCGTTTGGAAGATCACAAAATCACTTTGCTGTCATCCCGGAGGCCGCCGGTCGACAGCAACGTCATCAGCTACTTGTCGAATCCCACGGAACTACAGACAGTATAGCAGCTGCAGTAGCCTCGGCGTCTGAATGTATGTATGCCTATGTAGCTGCAACTTGTATCGATGAGACTGCTTGAGAGTGAGCGTGTAAAAAAGTACTACAGCTATCTATTACTGGTACAAAAATGCATTCCCATGTGGTCCACCCGAACTCAACGGCACAACGGCAGAGAAAAGCTACCCTCACATTACCATCACACCGCTGAACTCTTGTATAGCAACAGAAGGCCGCCCATGGGACTCTCGTCGGACGAGCCAATCTTCCATCTATTGGGCCGCCATACATAGCCGTCAAGAGTTTAATAGAGCGCCCCATGAGACGCGAACTGGACAAACTCCCTAATACGTCAGTACTCCCTCCGTAGGTTTCAGTTTTCGCCCTCTTGGCTTCTCACTGTGGTGTTGGAACGTCATGTCGCAAGCACAGGAGTAGCGCTCAGTGTCGAGTGGCAGACAAGGCTCTCTCTATTGGACCCACCCTTCGCGACAAACCAACTCAGTGGAGCACGTTCTGTATGCCCGACGACTGTTGTTGCCCTATATTACATTCCGTCAAAATCAAACGCGAGCTTCTCTAAAAACATCGAGATGTTCACGAGCCGTAAACGACCTACCGGCGTCCCTGCAGGTCCTCGCGTTACATAGGAGAGTGATTGGCAGCTCTATGGATGCAACAGGTAGGTCAACAAGACAGAGTGGGTGCCGTCTTGTTCATCGGATTGTGTGCCGGCCGTCGGAGTCGGACATAATGAAGCTTGAAATGTTCTCCCTCCCTGAGACTGTGCCAAGGAAATGTTCTTGTCGGCAATGGTACATCGTGTATTGTGAGAAATCGGACCGCGCATAGAATCCGCACCCCATTCCCCCGTGTTTTTGATCGCAACATTGTCGTGCTGGCTGCATCAGTGTCAGAAGAAAACAGCGATCTCCCCCCCCCGAAAAAGAGACGCCGAACTTGAAAGATTCGGCGCGCGTGACGGGGTCTTGGGAGTGATACAGAATGGGCCCGCAACTAAGAAAAATGCTGTCAAGAAAAAAAAGCTCAAATGTTTACGAAAAATAAGAAAAAGGCGCTGAGAAACACAGCTCAATCTCGACCACAATAGAAGAAACGCCTCAATCAAAAAGAAGCACGATCGTGCGATACCCTCAACACAAAACAAGGGGGTAGCTGGAGGAGCGTGTCCAACAAGAAATGTCCCACTGCTGCTGCTGCTACCATGCTCCCACCCCCTACCGATAGCTCATGTCATGTAATTGGTAGGGGGGACGACAGTGGTTATTTTCCCGGCGTCCCCCGCGCCCCAGCGCCGCTGTGGGCTGCGCTACCCACTGCTGCTGTACTGCTGTACTGCTGTACTGCCACAACCCCAAACGTTGGCCACACCAAGCCGTCGGTTTAATGCCCATGAAGGCTTGGGCGAGCGTTTACACGTTCGATCCCTCCGAATTGTCGACGCAACGGAAATAATCGCTCGATTCCCGGAGTTGGGCCTGCTACTCGAGTGGAAATATTTTTCCGCGTTTAGGGCCGCTGTCGACCCCGCGCTTACCAACTGGGACGTGGGTCGTGCGCCCTTTCCAGATCAGGCGGCCTGAGATGCCCGGCTTTCCGGCCAGTCGAAACCCAACTCTGAATGTACAGACTTGCTGTCTCCATGACGGCGCCCAGGCAGTGCAGAACGTAAGATTGGATTCATCAATATCTCCCCGGACGAAAATGCACGGCAGTTCGGGTTTGTTTCTAGAACTACTGGGACGCGAGAACTCTCCATCGACGATCGCACAGCTGTAGCATAGGAGCTGTTGGCTGAATTTCCGCGCGCTTGCGACTATCGCACCCCCCACCCAAACCGAAGGTTAGAGGGTTAACCTTGAAAAGTAATAGATCTCCCCAGCGCCTACCTGCCATTTGGTACAAGCTTGTACACATAGGATCATTCATGGCCTAGCTCACCTAGACTATGCCCCACAGATAACCACGGGCAAACACTCACCGATCACAGAAGACCATGAACAAACATACCCCGATCAACAATGTCCTACAGATTTCCATGAAGCAAACATACACCAATCACCTATGTCCAACAGATCACCATGAAGAAAACATACATCAAACATACATCAATCACCCATGTCCAATAGATCAACAAGTAAACATACACCAATTACCAATGTCCTTTAGATCAGTTCGGGCAAACGTATTAAAATCATTGATGTCCTTCAGATCACCTTGGGCAAACAAAGCCCCATCACACGCGTTCTACCGATCACAAGGGACGCACACTTCAACAGAGCTAGCTCGACCTTTTTAGGGATCTGATCTATCATATTTGTGTGCGCTTGGGCCAAGCACGTACCTCTCCCTGCCTACGGCCTGGTGGACTATTCTCAAGTGAAGTGACTCGTTACCGCGCCCAACTTCCAGAAAGCTTCTGAGGAGGACGACCACCGAACACATCCCCGGCTTGCAAAACCTGTCCGCCAAGTGTGGCGCTACCGGCCGTCAACGTTGATCCAGCCCCCATCTCCGTGCACCAGCTCCCTGTGTGAGCATGTACAACCCCACGTTTACCTGGAGAAAAAGCCGATCACGTCCCGCGTGTGTCAGCATGTGGCGAGTGTGAGGGAGATGTGCCCGACGCAGTCAAAACCCGTCAGCGCCCGCTGGCGCTCAGTAGAATTAGAGCTATGCGCGTTTGAGGTCAAAGAGTGATGCTCGCGAGATAGTGCGTTGTGCATCGCATATTCCACAGTTGCCTTCTTGTTGAAGGGGTAAGGGGTTCAACTTTCACGTCTGCCGCAAGACATTACCAGGAAAGTCCTACTTTTCAGCGCGGCGGGACCTTGGCGGCACATCGCCCAGCAAACGTCAGCGTAGGCCCCCTTTTTTCCTTCTGCGTTGTTTTTCCGTGTGAACACTGGCAAATAACTCGCCTTATTGACCCCAACAGCGTATACAACACAGCAGTAAGAGGGGCCAAGGTCAAGATCTGACGCAATCCAAGTGTTACTGGGACACGAAGAGAAACACACTTGAGGAGATCAGTTCATGGTTAACCCTCCTAGTATCCAGTCCGTCCGCAGAAACAAATGCCGAAAACATACTTGTCAGCCATTGGTCGACGGGCTACAATCCCTCCAAAGAATCTGAGCTCCTTGCCAGACAAAGGGTGACCTGGCTTCAGTATGAATGTCCCCGAAACACGGACACTTTTCATACTGAAGTCAAGTCAGCCAATATGTCCAGTACCAGGCGATGTACAGTTTTACGACAGGGGGCACGCGGGTTGGGAGATGTGTACAGCAAGTCAGAGGCCCAGGAGAGGCATCACACAGCATATCACACAGCGTACCACCTCAGCCAAGCATAATAGACAAGAGGTTCTCACGTGCGTTGTACACAGCGGAGCCTATGTTGACTACAGTGCGGTAAAATAGACCTTTGAGTGCTGTGTCCCAAAGTGTCCCCAGATTGTCCCCATTTGGGCTTCTTGTACTAGGAGGGTTAAACCAATCATTTTGGGGGAAATTGCTGTCCCCAGTTTCCGTACCCTTTTCGCGACCAATGTTAGAGAGGGTTGAGCCATACCACAGTCCCTACCTCCCCCCCCCCCTGAATTATTATCGTGTGTAGAACTTCAGCCATACGGACAAGGAAGGGGGTGGGTTGAGTCGATTTCTCTGCGACATTTTCCGATGGTGTACCGATGCTTCCTGCGGACAGACAATCTGCGCCCACATACCTACACAGGCAGGCGCCAGTTCCATGGACCAGACTCCGTCAACGAAGGTAGCGCGGTGTCCATATAGAACCCCAGCAACCACGGAACCCTCGCAAACCTGCGTCGCATCGTGGTAGTTATGGGAGGAGGGCGTCGAATGCATGGGGCAAACACAGGCGGTCTTTGGCCAACCAGACGATAGAATAGGCTCGCTCCGGTTGGCGATGGTTGAGGTTTCCCTCTAGTAGCCATCGCGTTTTACTACGAAGCGCATTAGTAGGAATCGGAGTACGACGTCACTGAGCCCTGTTCAACGCAACCGTTGTCTTACCTTCACCATGCCGTGATCGGACACCTTGCCTAGAACCAGAGCGCCCATGGAAACGTCTGCACCCATGAGTCTTAGCCACACGTTGAGCAGCCACGTGCCTTTGAGGACGGTGTTGACAATGTATGGTTCGAAGAGGGAGAAGTAGACGAAGCGCTGCATCCACCGCCACCTCATTACCTGCGAAGCCGTGAGTTTGTTCGACTTCCGTCGCTGGCCTCCTTGTTGCCCTCCCCCGGACCCCTTCTCGATGTCTGTTGAACGTGGCCCAACTCGGGCAGAGATTTCCTTTCGTGTGCCTGCTCACGAGCAGGGAGCAATGCGGGTGCCAACGGAGGGATTGTCAAGGAACAAAAATGATATTCTGCGAACGTCTGCCACAGCAGCCCTTGCATATCATGAGACACACGTGGCTGATAATGAGCCCGGAACCCGTTCTTCACTGAGGTGAGCATACGCGCGAGAAGGGCATCCACAGTTCTCGTCGTACACGCCTGCCGGTAGGGTAGCCCCTGCTATTGATGAGGGCCCTATACGCTTTTAGTATTGCCGGGGTTCTCATTGTCAACGTGCATTTTAGCTATTGATGACAAAAATAGGGAGTGTCTACATGCTGCACCGACTTAGCTCTACCTTGCAAGTTTCGATAACGCCACGGTAGTTGGAAGGAGCGTTCCGCCTGAAGACATGTGATAAATTCTTTCGACGACAGAACGCTCCAACCTGGGCCGTAGCTGGGGAATGCTTGTTTGAATGAGTCCACTAATCCAAATCGCCCATCGCCCAATATCACGATAAGACCGAAGAAAAAACATGCCTCCACGATAGAGATGTCCGCTCTCCGAGGCGTACCGTGTTCGTGGGTGTGAGTGGGTCGGGAGATGTACAAGTCGTATCCGCCCTACCACGGTGGCCATTCAAGGAAAAAAACACCTTCAAACACGATCACCAGCCACATCTAGTAATCTCTGTAGACTAGCCTACATAATATTTTCGAGAAGTTTCATGTTGCCGGTTATCTCAACATGGAATGAAATATTGCTGCCCAGGGCAGAAGCTGTACTTGTACATTGACGCACTGCGGAAGACATCTTCAGGTCCACGCATTTGTTTTCGTACGTGGTGTCGTTCAGTCCTACAGCGGGGTACGATGGAGGAAAGCTTCGTGCTTTGTGAAAGTATCCAACGAGTGGAAGGCGATGCCGTTCTACATCGAAAGCCGCCCAATGCCCACCGTCTTCTCTTCCAATAGCAAACATTTTTTCTCACAGTCCGATTTACCCGCTTGCTTCTGAACAACATAGTTACATAGAGATCAAGACTGCATACCACATCAAAGCGAAACGTTGCACAAACCAACCTGCGGGGAGGGGGAAGAGAAACCCCTCTCTTGGAAATAATCAAACCGTGCAATGATCAGCTCACATGACCGGCTTTGACTCATTGAGAAAATCATTTCTGGATCTACCATGTTCATCAAGCACAGTCAGTGCGTCTATGTACGCCGCGCACCTGGGGTTGACATGAGGCGGAAGTCCCCCACGAACACCCACTTGAAGACGGCAAGAAGTACAGCCGACGCCAACGCCCACACGACCAAGGCTACCGCCGGCAACACCACAACCCTGGTGTCGAAGGGATCGCCTCTCGACCACAGAGATTCCGCAAGCTTGGTCGCCTCGAAAGACGCCACCAAGGCCAGGATGTTGAGGGAGCAAGCCCCCAGGGTGCACGCTGCGTCGATCACGTTCGCCTTGACAGTTTCGCGGGGATCTTCAGCGGCGAAGCACATATGTAGCGGGTCTTATGGTAAGGATGCATCTTTGGTCAAGTGTAGAGTTCATTGTTCTGGGGACTTCCTCGATACCTCTCGGAGGGAAGACTCTCGTAAGGGAACTCCCGTAAAAGGGACTATAGTAGCTGAGGGGGCCATGTCGTTCTCAGCCGTATGCAAGCCCCTTTCGGCTACCAGGCCTAACAGAATGTGTGTCTACTTGGGAGAGGGGATATCTACTTTCACAACTCACCGTCATGGATATCCCTCTGGGCCGAGGTAGGCGCAGAAGCACCAAATTGGAAGGCACTTTGCTGGTCGCACATCGTCACCGACCCGTCCGTGAGATTTTCTCCAGGCCTTAGCTTGGAGTATCCGCCAAGCTGCACCAGAAAAATCATGGGCGACGGACAAACGGTTGACTATTGGTGATGCACGTGGAGAACGCGAACAATCACACAATTCCATGCCACGAAGCTTCAGGCTTCTGTGTCCACCCACATATGGAGACATGGCATGTACCTGTAGACAGACTGCAGATCGATGATGAAGGCGTGCCAACGCTCGTTTACAACGCCCAGCGGGCCTTCTTGGGTTGGTAGTATGAAGCAAGTCGCGTCCATCAGAAGGAATCTGTTTCCACAAGCCGAGCACGAAAGCCGCGACCAAACTCAACGGAGCCCACCATCACCATCGACTCACCATTGCACCGTTGCCGACGGTACAGCCTGCGCCGAGGTGTACCCCGAATCCGAGTAACGCCTTCGATCCGATCGATATTGCCTTCTTCTCGCGTTCAGTTCCACGTCCGGTCGGTCGGTCGACGGAGAGACGCGGGTAGCCGATGTGGGCTCGGCAGCCGATCTGGAGGAGGGACAAGAACCGCAGGCGCGGGTGTACTTTCAGCATGTCCAAGACGGGCTTTGAAATGGCAGCTATGTAACAACCTGCAGTGTGGTTGGCGCACGCAAGCACGCATATACTTCTTTCCCCCTGCTCAAGAACGCCGACACGTGTCCGGCGAGCGACCTAGAGGGCATCGTACCGAACCAACACAAAGAACATGCCTGCCTTCTTCGTACAGCTTTTAGGTCTCCGGTCGTCATGTGTTGCATCTACATAAATTTACAGTGATACTGGTCCGAGGAATCGAGTCGCCGAGGTTTTGGGAGATGTTCGTCCTGCGTTCAGTCAGGCCCCACCTGAATCAGGTGAGCGTCCTCCGGGTTGAACTCTTCCAGCAGGACGACCGAACCACGCCCCACTTTCATGCCGAGCGCGGCACTCCACCACTCGTATCTCGGACACCTGTCATCCATGCAAGGGCGGTGCCAAGTGGTCGGACGAAGACGAACGGTCCCAACAGGTGCCAGGCAGATGGGGGCCCATGGTGAGATGGTCGCATCGCACGGTCAGAGTTAGACGTGCGACAGAGGACTATCGCCAACATTTTCTGCTGTACCTCGAAGACTGTGCACAATACTTCGGAGCACTGTTGTGGTTCGCCGATGGCTGTCTTGATTAACGCGATTATTGTTTGGCTTGTGTGGACGTCTGACGATCTGAGCATGAGCCTTCTAGCGAAAGGTGGAGGCCTTCACCACCTTGAGCGATGCTCGAAAGATAGACTCACTGGTTGAAGACGTGCAAGTAGGCGAACACAAACGTGTTAAGCCTGCCCAGATACCAGCGTCGCCAGGTCTGGAAGACGTTCGGCTTGTAGGAGCCCTCTGTCACGCGACCTGTCAGAACACAACGAACAACAAGAAGTTAGGCAATGTGCTTATGAATCCTTGCCGAAGAGACCGTTCGTTTGATTTTTGTCTTCAACAGGCTGGTTCTGAAACAGCGAAAGCACGCAAACAACGGGATATCGCCGAAGCCCATCTACCGGCAGACGAGCTCCGATCCAGTGCCGGCAAAATTGACGGGCATACATACCCTTGAGGCACTAAAGAGGGCGAAAGAAAGCAATGTACCTGCGAGAATCCACTTGAGCAGAACGGTGTAGAGAGCTAGCTGGCTCGGTACTCCGCCGACGAGAAGAACAACCTTGACAAGAAGGGCGTAGCGGAAGTTCTCCGATAGACCGATCGACTCATAGAGGATGATCGGGAAGTAGGTCATTGCCGTCGTAGCAACCAGGGTGCACAGGATCGAGATTTGCTTCGCCAACTGATGCGCCCACGGGGGGGGTGGGGACATCACGATCTTAGCTTTCGTGGCGTGAGGTATGGCATACGCCACTTAGTTGGGATTACCCTGCGACGTTAGCCAGGATCGTCGAGTGCCACCGCGCTCATCGTAGGGGCTGATGCTGCTGTTGTTGTCGAGGGTTCGCAACAGGAGCTGGCAGACAAGAAACCGACCGCTGCCATGCCGTGAAGAACGGGTTGTGACGTTTGGTCACCAAAATATTCCTCCCGTCGATTGCCTGGTGCGTTTCTCCCGCACAGCTGGGATACCTTCTGCATTGTGAACAATACTAGAGCTAGTTTGGACGAACAATAGCCATCACAACTGCAAACGTTGGAACTGCATGTACTGCTGTCACCTTACCTCTGTCAGGCAGAGCATGGTGACACGCGCGCCAGGAACATCCAGCACCATGCTGTCATGGGCTTGGTTACCCTTCTTAGTTTCCTTTGCGGGGTGACCTTCCCAAGTGGAGTGTGGCTAAGCGCAGGCAAAGCGAACGATGCGATCGTCGGCGATAGAGCTGTCATTGCCACAATACGCCATCCTAAGGGCAGCCCTACGCACAAAAGAACCAGTTTGCCGGTGGGCTGATAGAGCAGGTGGGTCGACGGCGAAAGTCGCCGTTCTGACTACGACTACCATCTCAAGTGGGCTGTCCTTGTTCATGCTTCGGCCGCTCGAGCGCTACTGCGGAGCCAGAACCTCTCGCGCAGGCAATACTTCTAGCGTGTATGATATTCCGCTCAAACCCATACAGGGCATAAAAAAACCAGAAGCGAGCGTCTAAAACCACGAGATAGCGTCCGTGTTGTTAAAAGCGTTACGTTTAACCAAACTAGTTCCCGCCAACAACATTTCGCGTGGCCAGATCGACCCCGCGTCGCCTCACCACAAGCTTCGAAGATGGCGGAATGACGGTAAGGGGCTCGACAATACTGGATCGAGGACCCCACCGAAGAGATCAAAGACACGGGAGGGGCGCATGTGGTCAGAGTCAGCGGAAGCGGGAGGAGAGCTTGTCAGAAACGAGAGAGGAACACGAGAGATGGGTGCATAACATGAGTACCACGCAACTGTGGCGGACGGGTTTCTGAGGAGTCGATGCCAAAGAGCGCATTAACTAATGGGTCTCGTCGTCGAACAACCACACGAAGACACATGTATTTTGCGGCCGCAACGGCATCGGGGTTGAGTGTGTCCCGACAAACTGGTCGCGCATTCGCACCCAGGCCTGATAGGGTGAGTGTTTCAACGCCTCCTATCGACAAGGGGAGGAGTCGGAGATACGTGTTGTGTGGAAGTCGTGTACTTCTATACCCCGGAGTGTTGAATTTTGCAGAGGATGCCTGCATTCCACTCGTGAGCACGCGCATGAAGGGCAGTCAACGTCAAAGAATGCACCACGTCCACATGTCAATGCTAGGGAGGAGAGCAGAGAGATAGAGCTCGTCGTACGTGTGGGCATCCAAGCCATTCTCTGTCTGTCGGATCACTTTCGTGTTGCCCATTGGAATGTTTCTCTTGCACACATCTCACCAGTGATCACCGACGCTTGTCCCTCCGTACACCACGGACCCGGTTCTAAGGTCGGCACCTTTGCCAATGATGATGGGTGCCACGTCCATGTAAGAAGCCTCGAACCGCCGGACGTACAGGTTCCCATCCACCTTCGCCCCTTCCTGGACCTCCACCGAATCGAAATCGCGAACGAAGACGCTGATGCTGGCCGTCCAGGCAATCTGCAATAAGCATGGTCGGTGGACGCGTATGCTACGAGTAAGGCTTGGAGTGCGGTCGCGAGCGCGCGGATCATCCCCGTAACGTTACACAGCCGAGGGTGCTGGACGCCTTCTGACAACGTTACGATTTCCCCCCATGTGAACGAGACGCGCTTTCGAGACGAGAGTCAATAAGGAAGGCGTGATTTTCTCACCTTTGCTCCCATGCACCGGTAAATGAAGATTATCAGCTTCGTATCGAGCAACCACGTTCCACCGATGGATTCCCACAAGTTCAGCATAGTGTTCATGTACCACCAGGAGAGGTACGCGCGCGTGCCCAGCGGGACGCGCACTTGAGGGTACCCGCCGAACAGCAGTAGCTTTGTCACGATGACGATCGCCGTGAAACACGCGAACCAAATGATCGGCGAAAGCGCTCCGAGAAGCCCGAGAGCCCGCATCTTGGAAGATTCTGTCGGGTGGCAAGGAAACGAAACGTATCGCAAGGTGTTCTTCGGTACGGCGCGAGATCAATCGCCACGACCGCTGCAGCCACTTCACGGTTTTCCACCAAGGCGACCATTCAACCGGTGGAGAATCTGACGGAGCTGTGGTTCAATTTCACTGCGAAAAGACTGCTTCGTGATCCCATGTGAACGTGTCTTCGCTCGCCTTCTGCACCTCCTTCTCCTCGTCCGAAGACAGGAAGATCCACGTAGAGCCACGGCTGCTTGTTGTACCCACCGAACGACCCTGTCAAGGCCAACTCGTTGATGTACCGCCAGTAGTGACGGGCCGGTTGTAGTGCAACAAATATCTGGACCAGGACCAATGCTAGTAAGATCGTCTGATACCAAAAGCAGGGCAGAGTGACAAGCGGGGGGGAGGTGAGCTTCTTTGAAACACATACATGGGGGACGCACACAAGAGTCCGTCCAAGGACGAACCGTACCGTCTTGACCAGATATGCCAATGTCACGATGTCTGTATCACACATGGGGGGGGGGGGGGGG